GCAGCAGCAGCCAGAACCAGAGCATCAACGGCCAGCACTGGAGCAGCCAGACCTGGGGCAGTGGCAGCCAGGCCTGAGGCAGAGGCGGCCAAGCCCAGGGTGGCCAGTCCAGGAACACCCAGACCTGGAGTGGCCGGGCCTGGAGAAGCCGGGCCCAGAGCAGCCGGGTGGGGAGCAGCCAGGCCCAGAACAGCAGAAGCCAAGCCCAAAGCATCCAGCCCGGGTGCAGCCAGACTCAGAGCAGCCGGGCCCGGGGCAACTGGGCCCACAGCAGCCGGGTCTGGTGCGGCCAGGCCCGGAGCAGCAGCTGACAGGCTGGGAGCAGCCAGGCCCGGAATGGCCGGGCCCGGAGCAACCGGGCCCAGAGCAGCCGGGTCGGGTGTGGCCAGGCCTGTAGCAGCAACAGCCAAGTCCAGAGCAACTAGGTTGGGAGTGGCAGTGACCAGACCCGGAGCAGCGACTGCCAGGCTGGGAGCGGCCAGGCCCAGAGCAGCCGGGTCTGGTGTGGCCAGGCCCGGAGCAGTGGCTGCCAGGCTGGGAGCGGCCAGGCCCGGAGCAGCCGGGTCTGGTGCGGCCAGGCCCGGAGCAGGGGCTGTCAGGCTGGGAGCAGCCAGGCCTGGAGCGGCCGGGCCCGGAGCAATTGGGCCCAGAGCAGCCGAGTCGGGTGTGGCCAGGCCTGTAGCAGCAACAGCCAAGTCCAGAGCAACTGGGTCGGGAGCGGCAGTGACCAGACACGGAGCAGCTGGTTGTGGAACGAACCAGAGCAACAGAGGCCAGGCCCGGAGCAGCCTGGCCCAAAACAGCTCACTCCTCACCTGCCCCTGCCCCACGGCTGCCTCTCAGACATGGCTGGAAACTTTTGCGGGAACTTGAGGGTCTGCTGAATCAAGTGATGAAGGCTTATATCTGGATGTGTTGAGTTAGTATAGTGCTGGGGTGTTGATCTGTGAGTGCCTTGGGTGGGGCCTGGATGAGGCTGGTTGTCTTATTTGGAAATGTCTTTTGTGTGAAGTGTATCATTGGGCATGTGGAGGTATTATTGATATGAGAAAATGCTAAGTAACAGATTTGCTATCTGAAAAGGGATTTACTATCGGGGAAAGGGAGGGAGGAAGAGACTGAACATAAACTGTGCACCAATGGATGAGGATGAGGGGGCAGAGGGTGGGGTGGGAACCTGGTGGAGGGGGGAAGAAACGAGGAACCTGTGTAATAATATGAACAATAAAGATTGATTTTAAAATAAATAAATAAATAGCATAAAAAAAAAAGTAAATATCAACATGAAGCAGATTGTAGATCACGCAGGGAGAACAAAGAGTAAAATATTTAACTGTAGCAGTCTTTGACTATATTCTGTGCAGTGAGAAAACCTGAAGTCATTTTCAAGGTACACCATTTCTTTTCAGTCAGATCAAATTTCTACACTTCCTAAATCTCCATTTTCTGGCTAATCAAAAGAGAATAGGATTGCACCAAGTCTCCTATCTACCTAGTCTAGAAATTCTGTGAGGATCAAATGAGATGAGACATGGGAAAACGCTTCACAGACATTTGGTTACAGTGTAAAGTGTTTCCACCTGGCTATAAAGCAAGTCATGTTTCTGGGCTGAAGAACCTGCAAGGAGGTTAGTTGTTGCTAGGGAGAGGAAGCTGGGCACTGCTACATAATGTCATTAGCATATTAGCCACATATAATTTTGGAAATCCATCATCTTTTATAGATTTTTTTAATACATATTAATGGTATGTTTACAGGTTCAGGGGAAAAAAAACTTTATTTAACCTAGTATTTGATCCCAGAACCATTTTTCCAGAAATACAACCAGCCCAAATAAAGAAACATTCTAGGGCAGGGGTCCTCAAACTTTTTAAAGTGGGGGCCAGATCACGGTCCCTCAGAGAGCTGGAGGGCCGGAGTATATGAACTACTAATTCCTACTGTAACACCTCGGCTGCGCTCACTGCCCAAAAAACCTGGCGGGCCAGATCAGACTCCTCTGCGGGCCGCATGTGGCCCGCGGACCGTAGTTTGAAGACGCCTGTTCTAGGGCAATTTGGGAACTGGTAATATGTGTAATATGTTTGTATCACAATAGGTAATAACTGTGATACAAACAGTTCAAATTGACATCTCTATAATTTTTAAAAATTTGATTTAATTTTTAAAAAATTATTATGGAGAAAGAGAAACATTGATCTGTTGTTCCACTCATTCATGCATTCATTGGTTGATTCTTTTTTTTAAAGTATATTTTATTGATTTTTTTACAGAGACGAAGGGAAAAGGATAGAGAATTAAAAACATCGATGAGAGAGAAACAGCTGCCTCCTGCAGACCCCCTACTGGGGATGTGCCTGCAATGAAGGTACATATCCTTGACTGGAATTGAATCTGAAATCCTTCAGTCCGCAGGCCGACGCTCTATCCACTGAGCCAACTGGTTAGGGCAATTGGTTGATTCTTGTATGTCCCCCTACTGGGGATTGAAGGTACAACATTGGCATATCAGGATGATGCTCTAACCAACTCAGCTACCTGGCTAGGGTCTATAAAACATTTTTCTTTCTGTCCAAGAGAGTAAATAATTTGAATCAATTTTATTATAAGTCACCTTCTAATTGGTTTATTCTAAGAGACACAGATGAAATAATCTTATTTTAAATAGAAACGAATAAAACTTTAAAAAGTACCATCCCAATTTAGTAAATGTATAATATCCTTCTGACCAAAATAAATAAATAAAAATAACTACTTCTAAATTATATCTTTAAAATGTACAATTTCTCAACAAACTTGAGGTTTTATTCCTATGTTAAGAGTGGAGGAGCTTTCGCCAAAACCGGTTTGGCTCAGTGGTAGAGCATCGGTCTGCGGACTGATAGGTTCCAGGTTCAATTCCGGTCAAGGGCATGTACATTGGTTGCGGGCACATCCCCGGTGGGGGGTGTGCAGGAGGCGGCTGGTCGATGTTTCTCTCTCATCGACATTTCTGGCTCTCTATCTCTCTCCCTTCCTCTCTGTAAAAAATCAATAAAATATATTAAAAAAAAAAAAAGTGGAGGAGCTTTCTTCAATTTTTCATTAAAATTGGAATATACTTTTAATTGTGATTAATGGCTTAAAATACCCATTATTTTTATTTGTCCTTACATTCCTGAAAAAAAAAAAATCCTTATGCCAAATTGAGTCATTATAAAAATGGTTCTCATTTACCTATTTGGGAATCCTCCAGCTTGCTAAAAAATATAGAAGTAACTATATTAAAATAAATTTTTACACCTCTTGTCTTTAGCACATGCAAAATTGCCTTCTTTTGTATGCTATCCTGTCCTTGGGAATTTCATTCTGTGTGAGTAGTGTGCATGACTGTGTTCAACCACTAGTTATAAAAGAAATGTAAATTAAAACAATAATTAACAGATTAAATAAAATCAACCCCTAGGCACCCCCTCCCCCCAGCATCAAAACGACAAAAAATGTGAAGCTATTATAGCTGGTTGTGTAGAGGTTGGAAAACTACACTCTTTATAGTAGACAGTGTTGGCTGCCTAAGCCAGTAGCCACTGTCCCCTCTTTTCTAACAGAACTCCATCTTTTATAGGATTGGCAATGTGTGCTCTGCTAAAAAAATTTCTATTTCCATCTTTCTTTATAATCATAAAATATCATAACTCTAGCAAGCGATAGGTAAGTTGAGGATTTCTTATAATGCCTTGCTCCTTTGACATAAACAGCAAGAAGGGATGGTACCTTTTTATCCTTCCTGGAATACCGATATGAGACAAGAGACAAAGCAACCATACCATGACTGAAAAAAAGAAAGCTACATACTAAAATTGATAAAAGCAAAATCTGGATAAAAGCAGCCTAGGACATTTAAGATACCATACTGGTAAAGTTGCTGTACTAGCCCTGAACTTCCTATACCAGAATTACCCGATGAGAAACAAAAATTCCTAATTTTTAAAACCACAATTAAGTAAAGTTTTCAAATGCAACATTAATTGATAAGACTCGTGAATTGCAACCTTACTCTTGGGAACTCTGACTAAAGAAAGCAAAGTTATGTACAAAAGGATATTCACAGTAGCATTTTCTATATTTGATTAACACTGAAAACAAATTAGATATTTGAGAATGTTAAAACAACTTAAGACTATTAAGTTGACATTTGAAAATCAACTTTCTGAAGACAACAGAAAAGATTAAAATGTAAATATGTCTGCTTTATTTGTAACTATTGGCAAAACTGTTGGTTCCCTAATCCACGGATATTCCTAATCCCCCCTTTTCCTTTCCTACCTTTATTAGAAAACCTGGAAAGGCTTACAATTTCATTTCTTGACCTTTCTTGCCACCAGAGGTGATCATCTTATACACTTGTGGCCAACAGATGAATACAAATCTGGGTTTCTGGAGAAGGTTTTGCTGGTATGAGTAAGAATTAGATGTGTAAGGCACTGCTTCCCCTTTCCTGGTTTTGCTAATAGAAACATAGCCTTGGGCTGCAGTGGCCATTTTGTTACCATGAGGGAAAGGCCAAAAAAATCAGAGACTTGGTATCAGGGAGTCACTGAACCAATGCCAATAGGCAGTTCCTCTATGCTTCTCATTATGTGAAAAAAATAAATCCCTATTTGAGGAACACTGCTATCAGGATGTTTAGTTACTTAAAGTAGGAAACATATCTACCTGATAAGTTACATATGAACATTAAGATTTGACAGAAAAATTAAAGCAGTCAGCCTATTAGGGTACTATTAAAAATAGCTTGTTAACAGAGAAGCACGGCGTGGGCTGAGCTTCAACCTATGAATCACAGTCACAATGCCATTTCCATCAGGGCACAGGCCCGGGTAGGGCTTACAGGAGGCAGCTGATCAATAATTCTCTCTCATTATTCATGTTTCTATCTCCCTCTCCCTTCCTCTCTGAAATCAATAAAATTATGGTTTTTTTTAAAAGTTTTGTACAATAAATCATTTAAATAATAATATTGAGCTTAAATGGAAAATGCCTTATTAATTTTGCTGGTAAGAACACATTTGCCATTTAACCTAGATTTTTAATTCTAAGACCCTTTCTCCATTGTTTTGTTTTTTACAAGAGTCAAACAAAATTTTAGTAACCAAAATATATTTTCAATAAAATTTTATGTTTACATCTGTAAATAATAAAGGAGTATCAAGGACATTTGTAAAATTTCACCATACAGTTTTACACATGGTAATAGAAAACTGTTCATTAGAAATTAGTGGGATTATCCAAAGATACTTCAGATGCTCAAATCCATACACTCTTCATCCTACATATCAACTTCAGTTGCACAGATTTAGATGAAGACCTCTTACATAATATTGAAAATGTGATGCAACCTGCCCTTCATTGGCACTGTATTTCCTCAGACAGTCTGCCTTCATCACAAGTATCTTCTACCCCTGAGAGATCAGCAACATCAAGATGGCTCATCAGCTAAGTCACGTTGGTCAAAATACCTAGCAAAGAAATCATTGAATGTATGCTTAGAGATATTAATTGCAACACTACAGAAAATACTATCAGAAGATTGCAAACAACCCAAATGTCCATCAATAAGGGGATGGGTGAATAAACTACAGTACATCAATACAGAGAAGGCTATGAAGCTTTTACAAAATATCCATACTGCTATAGCATGATTTCCAGGACTTATTACATGGAAAAAGGTACAGAATGGTATATTTAATATGCCACTTTTTATAAGTGTGTGTAGGAATGCATATATTGATATATTTGCTTATACTTTTAAAAAGGATAAGTGAAAGGATAAACCAAAAATTAATAATAAAATGGATAATTACAGAAGAGAGAAAGGAGGCTAGGGAGATTAACGATGGATTCTAAAATACTCCAAATGTACAATGAATTATAATTTAACCTTGGAGAAATGTAATATTCTTATGTAATTATGAAAAAAGATTATATTAAAAAACAAACAAACATGAATCAAACTCCACAAAATGAGTCTTCCCATATATCAAGTTGGTAGTATATCACACAGAGAATATTTTTAAATGACCTTAAACACAGTGTTCTGATATACAGCATGTTTCTAGTAAGATATACCAGGGACAAAAATAGAATGCAAAGCATTATTAAATGATTTCAATATTTTTACTGTCAGTGACATTGGTAGCATTGTTATTCTGAAATAATTATGTGTATGCTTCAGGATAAAGCCATAGTTATGTTAACATTGTTAGAAATCAGGATTTTCAGCATAGGTTAAAAAGAAATACTAAAAAAAAAAAACAAACCCAGAATCTTAAACTAGACCTGAAATATAAATTTGAACTCAGAATTTTCTTTTTCTCTTTCTAAATAATACATAGTTCCTAGCTGTTCACTGAAAAGAACTCAATGCACAACTAGTTCTCTGGACTCTAAATACCATATTCTACTTGAAAATAAGAAACAGTACTCCCAGAAGAGAAGACTAATTGTAGCTACAGATCCAAAAATATTCAAAACACATGAATCATTTTGACATACCAAAAGTAAGACAACTAAAAAAGACCACTAGGGCTGAAACCAGTTTGGCTCAGTGGATAGAGCGTTGGTCTGCGGACTGAAAGGTCCCGGGTTCGATTCCGGTCAAGGCATGTACACTGGTTGCGGGCACATCTCTAGTGGGAGGTGTGCAAGAGGCAGCTGATTGATGATTCTCATCGATGTTTCTAACTCTCAATCCCTCTCCCTTTCTCTCTGTAAAAAATCAATAAAATATATTAAAAAAAAAAAAAAAGACCACTAGGATTATATAACAAAAAGCATATGAGTTGACCTGACTGGCCAAAAATGGAACAACCTGAGCATTAAATAATGACTGTGGGAGAAACAAAGATGGCGGCATAAACACCTAAACTGATGCCTCACACAACAATTTCAAAACTACAACTAAAAGACAAAACAGACATCATTCAGAAGAATAGGAAGGCTGGCTGAGTGGAAATTCTACAACCAGAAGGAAAGAGAAAAGCACACTGAGAATTAGTAGAGCTGCAGAAGGCAGAGGTACTGAGGCACATGCGTGTGGAGAGAGCTGGCAACTGAGTACGCGGCTTGCTTTCTCAACTGTGAGGGAGACAATAGCTCCCAAAGGATATGAACTCCAGTTCCAGGAAAGACTCTGGGACCCAGACTCATAAGGGGAGAAACTGGACTTTCAGGAAAGAGAAAAGCATACTGAGACAGGAACTGCGGAAGGCAGAGGTACCGAGGCGTACCTGTAGAGAGGGCTGGCAACTGAGTACGTGGCTGGCTTTCTAAATTGGGAGACTAATGCTCCCAACTACTCTGAACTCCAGTTCCGGGCGAGACTCTGGGGACCCACACTCGTTTGGGAAGAAACTGAACTGTCTGGCAGCAGGCAAAACTCGAGGGCGGCTTTCTCTCAGAGGTGCTTGCAGCGATTACCACAGGAAACTGAGACTCTGGGGCCTCTTAGGGTAGGGCTGATGGGAAGCCATCACTGTCTGCTCCTCCCTGAGATGCTGCACCATCCAAGCTGAGCACAGAGGTTTTTGCAAGTCTTGTCTCACAAGGGTGTCTCCAGCACAGAAGTTCTCTCAGTGTAGACACAGCTGATCCTCACAGCCAATTGGCCTGGAATTCAATTCCTCCCAATGATACCAACAACAGTCAAGGCTTAACTACAGCAAAACTATGCACACAGCCCACAAGGAGGTGCACAAAGAGTGTCCACCTCAGATAATTGGGGAGGCTGAGCCACTGGGCCCTATAAAACACTTAGCACACAAAGCCATTCTATCAACTCAGGGAATCAGCCAAAATTCGGAGACAAAAAACAGGTCACAAATGAAAGACATGGAGGAAAGCAAACTACTGAATATAGGGTTCAAAACCACCCTTATAAGGTTACTCAAGAACTACTAGAAACCTCCGAGAAATTTAGCAAGACCCTCAAGGATAGGAAAAAGGACCAAATAGAAATTAAGCATACACTGTCTGAAACAAAAAATAATATACAGAGATCCAACAGCAGATGAGAGGATCACAAGAATTAAGTCAAATATTTGGAATACAAAGAAGTAAACACCCAACCAGAAAAACAAAAAGAATCCAAAAATATGAAGATAGTGTAAGGAGACTCTGGGACAACGTCAAGCTTACCAACATCAGAATTATGAGGGTCCCAGAAGAAGAGAGAGAGCAAGATACTGAAAACCTATTTGAAGAAATAATTACAGAAAACTTCCCCCACATGGTGAAAGAAATAGACTTACAAGTCCAGGAAGTGCACAGAACCCCAAACAAAAGGAATCCAAAGAGGACCACACCAAGACACATAATAATTAACCCTTTGCACTCCGAACCATTCTGGACATTGGCTACCAGCTACTCCACGCTAACGGCCGAAACGTACGTTGAATTAACTCAATTCCCCGAAAACTGCAATGCCCCCTGAAAGGGGACATCTGAGTGATATGCTAGAATTCCGATGTCCCCTGAGAGGGGACAGCGGAGTGCAAAGGGTTAAAATGCCAAGGGCAAAAAACAAAGAGAAAATCTTACAAGCAGCAAGAGAAAAATAGTTATGTACAAGAGCACACCCATACGATTTCCAGCAGGCCAGATGGAAGTGGCAAGAAATAGTCAAAGTAATGAATAGCAAGAACTTACAAGGAAGATTTCCCAGCAAAGCTATCATTCAGAATTGAAGGTTAGAAAAGAGCTGCACAGATAAGAAAAAGCTAAAGGAGTTCATCCCTGCCAAACCAATATTATATGAAACACTGAAAGGTATTCTTTAAGAAGAGGAAGGAGAAGAAAAAGATAAAAAAAAATTATGAAGAACAAATACATATCTATCAACAAGTGAATCTAAAAATCAAGTGAATAGAAAATCTGAAGAACATAATAAACTGGTGAATATAATAGAATCAGGGGCATAGAAAGGAGTGGACTGACAATTCTCTGGGGTAAAGGGATATGCGAGAAGAGAATGGATAAAAATCGTACACCTATGGATGAGGACAGTGGGGTGGAGGTGGTAAGGGCAAAGGGTGAGGTGGAAACGGGTTGGAGGGAAGCTATGGAGGGAAAAATAGGAACAATTGTAATAATTTGAACAATAGAGATTTATTTAAAAGAAATACTGACTGAAATGGATCGAAACGTATAAAATGTTAAAACCCCTAAATGCAAAACAGTATTCCAAAAACAAACAATCTTATTGGTCATCTTTGAGGACTGCTAGTCCACGACTTCATTATTTTTCAAAAATTAGTAATACTTGGAAATACTGCCTGTATCCCATTTATTTTTAGGAGGTGTAAACTATATTTCAGAATAACCAAATTAATGAAGATAGGTTATATTTTCTAGAAAATGTTATATACATAAATAGAAAACCCAGCATTTTCTAGTCCTAAGAAATGATGGATCTATGTAACAATCATCAATGGCTGATAAAACCAACAGGTAAAAGGTATAGGCTTTACCTGAACACTTAAGATCACCTTTATCATCACTAAGAGTAGAACAACTGGACATTATATGCCTCCTGATGTAATACAACAGCATCCATAGAGTATTATCAAACAAACAAAAACACTATAATATATAGGGTCCACCCCAAAAAATGTATACACACACTTGAAATAAAGGCAATGTTTATGAAAATACATTTCATTTTTAAAATTCAGCTATCAACTGTTAAAGTGTATTACATTTTTGGGGGTCACTTGTATAATCAAACCTCTAAACTTACCTACCAGTTTACAGAAAATATGAGGGGTGAACACATTAAATACTGCATGAAGATTTAGTTGTCAAAACCAAGATGTGAAATTTTACAAGTCAAAGGACCCAGTTTCTTCAACAAATAAATGACAAAGAAAAAAAAACCCAAGAGGGTTGATGGGGAGATTTAAGAGACATCAAACAAATGCAATGAGTACACCCTAAATTTAAAGAATTCAAAATTAAAACATTTTTGGGACAACTAGGGAATATGAAACATGGAGTAGTCATCAATGATACGTGAGTTATTAAATTCTTGAGGTGTGCTACTAGTATTATAATATTTTTAAAAAGCTCTTCTCAGAAAACTAAAAACAAAAGAAAAACAAACAAAAAGCTCTTCTCAGATACATACTAAAAGAAATGATATGCCGGAAATTTGTTTAAAGTATATTAACAAAAACAATGGAATAAAGAAACATCCTGGTGAACAGATAATCTATACTAGTCAGTGGCAAACTCATTAGTCAACAGTGTCAAATATCAACAGTATAACTTTTGAAATTTCTTTTGAGAGTCAAATTTTTTGAACTTAAGCTTCTTCTAATGCCAGTTCTTCAAAATAGACTCGCCTAGACAGTGGTATTTTGTGGAAGAGCCACAGTCAAGGGGCCAAAGAGCCGCATGTGGCTTGCAAGCCGCAGTTTGCTGACCATGGATCTATATCACATGTGTCAAACACAAGGCCTGCGGGCCAAATCTGTCCCGCCAGGCCTTGCAATGTGGCCCGCACCGCGCTGTCATCACTGCACTCCGCTGCGTTTCCATCACAATGACAGTTTATGACTGTTCAGTAAACCATTCGGCCCGCAATTTAAGCTGGATTTTAGATTTTGGCCCCTTCTCTGATTGAGTTCGACACCCCTAAAATAAAAGGGTAATAAGCTAATTAGACAGGGAGACCTTTCAGACAAAGCCATGGTGGTGGGGCCGAGGCAGAAGTAGTTAGGGGCAATCAGGCCAGGAGGGGAGGGCAGTTGAGAGTGATCAGGCTGGCAAAGGAGGGCAGTTGGGGGGCATGAAAACTGTTGGGCGGCGAGCCGAGTGGTTAGGGGCGATCAGGCAAGCAGGCAGGTGAGTGGTTAGGAGTCAGTGGTCCCGAATGGAGAGAGGGATGTCTGACTTCCAGTTCAGGCTAGATCTCTATGGGGCTTATGGGATCAGGCCTAAACCTACATCCCCTAAGGGTTCCCAGATTAGAGATGGTGCAGGCCAGGCTGAGGGACACACCCTCTGTGCAAGAATTTTATGCACCAGGCCACAATTTCTATACAATAAGAGTATTATGCAAATTCACTGCACCTCTGCTACACCCACAAGCCACACCTACAAGCCAATCAGGAGCGAATATACAAAAAAAACCTAACCAAAATGACTGTGGCCACAGAGAGCAGGTGGGAGCAAGCCAAGCTTTCCACATGCCCTTGCCAGCATAGGCTTCCACTCAATGCTACAAAGTTTCACTTATAGAAGGTAAATAAATCCCAATAAAAATGGCGGCAGCCCCGGAGCTGGAGAGAGCAGGAGGCTAGCGTTTCTCCCAGAAATGGAGGAAGCCAAGCTTCTGAACCCTGGCCTTCCTTGGCCTCTGCTACAAAACTTCAATGACAGAAGATAAATAAATCCCAACAGACATGGCTGCCTCCATAGAGCAAGCAGAAGGCTTGGCTTACTCAAGATACAGTTTCAATTGTAGAAGATAAATAAATCCCAGATACTAGGGCCTCCACTTGGGATGCCGGGGGGGCGTGGCCATTCTGCAAACCACCACAGACCCCTCACCTAAGCCATTCCACGATCCAAGAGAACCCCCACCCTGATCCGGGACACCATTCAGGGCAAACCAGCTGGCCCCAACTCATGTACCAGGCCTCTATCCTATCTAATAAGAGAGTAATATGCAGATTGACCATCACTCCAACACACAAGATAGCTACCCCCATGTGGACACAAGATGTCTACCACAAGATGGCCAGCAGGGGAGAGCAGTTGTGGGCAATCAGGCCAGCAGGGGAGGACAGTTGGGAGGGACCAGGCCTGCAGGGGAGAGCAGTTTGGGATGATCAAACCTAAGGGGAGTGCAGTTAGGGGTGACCAGTCTGGCAGAGGAGGGTAGTTGGAGGTGACCAGGCCTGCAGGGGAGAGCAGTTGTGGGTGACCAGGCATGCAGGGGAGGACAGTTAGGGGCAAACAGGCTGGCAAGGGAGGAGTTAGGCATCAATGAGGCTGGCAGAGGAGTGGTTAGGGGGTGATCAGGCTGGCAGGCAGAAGCGGTTAGGGGCAATCAGGAAGGCAGGCAGGTGAGCAGTTGGGAGCCAACAGTCCTGGATTGTGAAAGGGGTCCCAGACTGGAGAGGGTGCAAGCTGGTCTGAGGGACAATCTCGCCCCTCACGCACAAATTTCATGCACTGGGCCTCTAGTGTATAATAAAATTGTAATATGCTAATTAGATCGGGCAGTTGAATGACCTTCCAGACAAAGCCAGTGGTAGGGGCCAAGGCAGAGGTGGTTAAGGGTGATCAGGCAGGCAGGTGAGTGGTTAGGAGCCAGCAGCCCTGAACTGCATGAGGGTGCAGGCTGAGCTGAGGAACCCTTCCACCCCTGTGCAGGAATTTCATGCACTGGGCCTCTAGTAGTTAGTAATTCCTGAACCCGGGTGATGAATTGGTTTTGGGGGAGGGGGTTGTTAGATCTGATTGAATAATTGAAGACACTTCCCTTGGGAACTGACCTTTAGACCACAACAGACATTTTCTTTTGTTTAGCACTTGCTAAGACCACATTCCACTTACTATGACCATTATCTTTCTTCTCAGGACTCTGACAAGAGAATTCACTGCCTAATAAAAGCCCACCTAGAATCTTTTAAAATCTCTGATTCTCAGTCCTTGGATGCTGGCACCACTTTGGGGTTCAGTCCCTCTGGGTATCCAGATGACCTAATAAATTCATAATTCTTTATCCCCTTTGGTCTTGTGCATTCCTCCTTCGGTAACCCTAACATTTGGTGACAAAACCCAGGAGGGTTCCACGGGGAAGGGAAGTCATCGCTGGCTTTAGTCAACCTGTGTTTACTACTTGGAGAGCAATAGGCAGTGGCAGCTCAATCTGACCTTACCTCTGAATCCTACTCAGATGACATGGTTACTGGCTTCAATTATGACTCCCTCCCGTACGGGTCCTCCTGGGACCTCTCCCTCCTGCACTCAACACTGGTTCATTTCATTTCCGATAAGTGACAAACCGATTTCTGATTTGCTCCTCATCTCATATTAAAGACCTAGCGCTCCTGCCTGGCTTCGGCCCCTGAGACCAGGTCCCACAGACTTCCACATCACAGGGGATGCCTGCCACGTGGATTAGACTGACCTCTCTCCAGAGCCTGACTAGTTGGTGGAGACGCCCGCCCTCTATTCTTGCTCCTTGGGTCTCCATTTGTTGCTTATCTCCTCTTCCTAATTTACACCATGGGGAATTTTTTTTCCATCCCCCAAAAATGCACTCCTCTGGGATTTCTACCTCATAACCTTAACATGCTCAGTCTTTGCACAGAGGTCCAGGCAAAGTGCTTTATCTTCTAGATAAACAAAATCCTAATATGCAAAAAGACTGAATGGCAGAACAACCAAACAACTGGTTGCTACCAGGAGGTGCACATGGAACATGGCAGGCTTTGGTAGCAGGCAGCAGAGTGGAACGTGGTGGGCGTCGGCCGCAGTGTGATGGCGGAGAAGATGAGCTGGGGTGCCAGACTAACGGGGCACCAGTTGCTGTCATCGGGGCAGGCCTCTGGTGGTTACTGAAAATTCTTTGCTGCTGTGTGCTACAGTCCTGCCCAGAGCTTGCACCTGCTGCCACTACCTGTCTCTGGCCCCTATCGACCCTCAGGGCTTTTCAGCCTCCCCCTGTTCCTGAGGGACAATCAGGCCAGTAGCTGCTGCTCACACCCCAATCACTCCATGCCATCAGCAGATGTGAATGGGGCTGACACCATCAGCATGTGGAGCTGGAGGTGGCAAAAGCGGGCTGCTGGCAGGAGGCTGGGTGGGGTCGTGGAGGATGGGCCAAGACCACCTCTGGGCCCACTGCAGCCTCACGGCCCACAGATCCTTTCAAGGTGCACAAATTCATGCACTGGGCCCCTAGTCCACAATATAAATTATTCACACTGGCCCGAGATTTTAAAATTCTCTGGAACTTAGACTGAACATAAACTGTGCACCTATGGATGAGGACATTGGGGGGTGGGGAGGAGGCAGAGGGTGGGGTGGGAACCTGGTGGAGGGGGGAAGAAATGAGGAACCTTTGTAATAATATGAACAATAAAGATTGATTTAAAAAATAAATAAATAAAAAATAAAATAAAATTCTCTGGGACTTAGACAATTTCTGTCATGGCAATGAAAAGTGATCAGAGATCCCCTACATCCAGGCCTTCTTTGTACTCCTCAATTGTCTTCCACACAGTCAAACTTGCTCTACTCATCAAATCCTACTTCTCCACTCAAAGTCCCTTCTGCCGACCCTGGACCTGAGGCTTCTGATCATTCTTCCCCAACGCATCAGGTCCCTCAGTCTCCCTCTGACATTAACCTCAGGAAAAAATGGAGCTGTACGTTTAAGGATCTTCACTGAAGCAATATTTATAGAAAAAAACTAAAAGCTGTGATACGTACAGTATGTTTTCTTACACTTCAATTTCCTCTACTGTAAAATGTAAATAAACTCTACCACCATTAATAAAATACTATTACAAAGTAAGAAGCCAAATATTACTTACCTGCTTACCAAGCAGATTAATAAATTCAAAGCAGGAACTCTCTCATCATCTTGGCTGTTCTAAAAAAAAAAAGAGAGAGAGGAAGCCACATGTGGTAGAACTCAAAATGTAATCTGTTCCTCCCTACTATCTTTGAAAAAAATTTCTTTTGATGCAAAATTTTATTAAGTGATAGTAAGAATCACATGGAAATACCGGTAGGAAACATAAAAGAAAAAAGACCAAACTGTAGAATTAACGATCCCTCAAGAAATAGCTAAGATAATCTTTTAAATAAATATGCTTAACCGGGAAAAGAAGGAAGGCTTAAGGGCTCTAAGAATAACTTTGGAGAACATCTTTCCTAATTCCAAGAAGTGCAGCAAAAAAGCCTATGTCTTACTGGATAGTAATGAAAAGGTATGTAAAATATTTTAGAGAACTTACAACTGAGAAGGAGTGAAATTCTGGCTTCCAGCATTAAGACATACCAGTAAATATTCTATTGTAGATCAGGGCACTCAATTATGATGGAAGTAGTTCCTAAACTATGCATTTTAGAAAGTTCACTTAAAGTATTTGTTAGCCGAAACCAGTTTGGTTCAGAGGATGGAGCGTCGGGCCTGCGGACTGAAGGGTCCCAGGTTCGATTCCGGTCGAGGGCATGTACATTGGTTGCGGGCACATCCCTGGTAGGGGGTGTGCAGGAGGCAGCTTGTGGACGTTTCTCTCTCATCGACAATTTCTAGCTCTCTATCCCTCTCCCTTCCTCTCTGTGGAAAATCAATAAAAGATATTAATAAAAAAAAAAGTATTTGTTAAAATGACAGATCTAAGATACATGGAAAGTAGTCTTACAGAGTATGAAATTTATTTTTATACATTTCAAGGAACAGGCACAATAACCTATTGAATAATGTTATAACAGACATGTCATATATTAATTGAAACTTGGGACACACGTCCATGATGTTATTGTATTATACTCAATTCTATGTACCAAGCATCATATGGGACAAAGTGAATAGACATATTAACTGCTAATAGCACAGAAGATGAAATAGCCACAAAATAGCTTTAATGAAAGGGAAAATGTGTAAGGTGCCATAGAAAAGATACAAAGTATAATGAGAAAACAGAAGATTCTTTTTTGTTGTTGGAATCAGGAAATGTATCATAGAAAATGGTGAGATATAAGCCAGATTGGGGGGGGTGGGGGGGAATGGTACTGAGATGCAGACTGGAAGAGAGTGAAAAGGCTCTTCTGCAGAGGGAATAAAGTCTAGGAAGAAAGCATGGGGAATAGTAGTTATTAAATAGCCAAAATTTGCTTGGAGAACAGTCCATTAAGTTCGTTTGGGCCACATCACAGTAGTCTAATGAAAGAACTATGGAATAGTCAAGTTTACATTTTGTGGAGGAAAAGGAGGGATGAAAAAAAATCAGAAGTGGGTTTAATAGGGCTTTAATTTTTATGGTAATGCTACATGTAAGTCAGAGGGTCTGACGGGAGAAATTCAAATAAGTCATTGGACTAGAGATTGCTAGATGACTATAACAGCTTCTTATATCCCCTTACTATGAAGCTCATTTTCAGTCAGGCACACTGTCACCCAGCTAAAAGTAAACTTTCCCCAGTTTCTTATGGCCATGTGACCAAATTCTGGCCAATGAGCTATTGAAATACATAGCCAGATGTGCAGTGGAACCTCTGGGAAGTCTCTTAAAGAGGATGATGGCCTTCTTTTTTTCTTTCCAACTGCTTATAATGAACTTACAGTGGCCAAGGCTCCAGCAGCCATCTGACTGATAAAATATTCCATGTTTTCTTATTTCATTGGAATCTTCTATCACCATATTGCAACTTACCACTAAAAGCCTCACTTCAGAGCATCTTCTTGCAAGTTGTCGAATCAGTGAATGAGCCTCAGGTAATAAAGGTTTTTCAAGACAAGCCAACAAAGCATAAAGCCACCTTCCCTAAATAAAATTTAAAAAAATAATAAGTAGGGAAATATAGCATCATCATGTTTCAACTAATTTTTAAAATGTTCCAAGTTGTGTCTGGTTATTTGCAATGAATAATTTCACACATTTAGCAGAACATTTAACTGTATAATGTTTGGATATAGGTAGATAATAAAAGGTCATCTAGCTAGCAAGATGATAGCTTTTGTATCTTCTAACTTTAGGCACAGACATTAGATACTTCAAAATACCATTTCCCCGAAAATAAGACAGTGTCTTATATTAATTTTTTCTCCCAAAGTTGCGCTAGGTCTTATTTTCAGGGGATATCTTATCTTTCCATGCGCTAGGTCTTATTTTCGGAGGATGTCTTATTTTCGGGGAAACATAGTAGTCTTACCCCCCGAAAAGTTTGTTTCAGAGATTCTTATTACAATTATAGTCCCAATTTATAGGTAGAAAACTGCATTAAGATGTGTATGAGGCCAAAACCGGTTTGGCTCAGTGAATAGAGCGTCGGCCTGCGGACCGAAGGGTCCCGGGTTCGATTCCGGTCAATAGCATGTACCTTGGTTGCAGGCACATCCCCAGTGGGGGGTGTGCAAGAGGCAGCTGATCAATGATTCTCTCTCATCGAGTTTCTAACTCTCTCTCTCTCTCTTCCTCTCTGTAAAAAGTCAATAAAATATATTTTTAAAAAAAGGTGTATATGAGTCCTTGAAAAATTAAGATACATTTTTCCTTTGCCTTCTATAGACAGATATACAAGTCATATTATCAATTTTTTGCCTGTAGAAATGCATTTTATTTTATTATTTAATTTTCTTCATGCTCACCTGAGGGAGAACATTTTTTCAATTGATTTTTAGAGAGAGTAGAAGGTGAAAGGAGGAGGAGAGAGAAAGCTATCAATGTGAGAGAGACATGTCAGTTGGTTGCTTCCCACATGCACCCTGACCAGGGCCGCCCGACCAGAACTAGGGATTGAACCTGCAACCAAGGTACTACAAGCCCTAGATAGGGAACCAAACCTGAGACTCCTAGGTCCACTCATATTATAATTTTAAAACTTTGTCCCCTGGGTCTATACAAAGGAACTATATTCTAGATGAAATAATGTTTTGATACTTCTACAAATACCATGCAAGCTAAATTTATTCCCATCCCATTTTAAAATGGGTTTTTCTTTTTAATTACAAAAATACTAAACGCAGAAAAACTAAAGAATACAAAATGCACAAAGAAAAAATGAACCTGAAATCCCACCATCTTGATAAACTTTCTGCTAATTTTTTAAATGTTCACCTTTCTTCCTAGTTCAGTGGTCAGCAAACTCATTAGTCAACAGAGCCAAATACCAACAGTACGACGATTGAAATTTCTTTTGAGAGCCAAATTTTTTTAAACTTAAACTGTTAACTCCAACTTCTTCAAAACAGACTCGCACAGGCCATGGTATTTTGTGGAAGAGCCACACTCAAGGGGATCAAAGAGCCGCGTGTGGCTTGTGAGGTGCAGTTTGCCGACCACGGCCCTACTTGGCTCTACGGTTAGAGTGCTGGCCCAAAGGCTGAAGGATCCCTGGTACGGTTCCAGTCAAGGGCACATACCTCAGTTACAGGCTCCATCCCTAGTCCTGGTCAGGCACATGCAGGAGGCAAACAATCAATGTGTCTCTCTGTCTCTCCCCTTCTGTTCCACTCTCTCTAAAAATCAATGGAAAAAATATCCTTGGGTGAGGGTTAACAAAATAAATAAAAATGTTCCCCTTTTCCTATGAATACATCTGCTTTTAAAAATAAAGTTTCATGGCCTCGCTGGTTTGGCTCAGTGGATAAGAGCATCAGCTGGTGGACAGAAGGATCCTGGGTTTAATTCCGGTCAAGGGCCCATGCCTGGTTTGCGGGCTCAATTCCCAGAAGGGGGTGTGCAGGAGGCAGCCAATCAATGATTCTTTTTCATCATTGATGTTTCTATATTTTTCTCCCTTCCTCTGAAATCAATAAAAATATATTAAAAAAATAAGGCTACATTTCTAAAAACAAACAAACAAAAACAACTATTAAGATTAGTAAATACCAAGTAATACCAAGTAAAGAAATTTTAGAAAAGTTCCTTTTCCTTTTTGGTAGTTTATAATATGCTTTAAATACTAATATTCTCAATACTAGAGTTCTGATGACATGGTTATTTGAATGGGGGAACTGAACACTATTGATTTTAGTGACAGATTACTCAAAATAACACTCAAAGATTAATCCGGTTAAGATTTAGTAAATCATTTGTCAGTGGCTCAGAAATACTTTAATGGTTTCTCTGACAAATATAGGTACACTTTTTGGTAATATGCTTTCACTAATCAACAGGAAAAGCCAAACTTATCACCCTCTAGTAATCTTTTTTTAAAAAAAATATTTACAACAGCCCTGGCTAGTGTGGCTCAGTTGTTGGCGTTGTCCCATGCACGGAAATGTTACGGTTTGATTCCAGCCCATGTTGGGGGTTGATCACCAGGTTGGGGATGTACAGGGGGCAGCCCATCGATGTTTCGCTCTGGCATGGATGTTTCTCTCTCCCCCTCTCCCTTTCTGTCTCTAAAATATCAATAAAAAGAGCTGAAACCGGTTTGGCTCAGTGGTAGAGCCTCGGTCTGCGGACTGAAAGGACCCAGGTTTGATTCCGGTCAGGGGCATGTACCTTGATTGCGGGCACGTCCCCAGTAGGGGGCGTGCAAGAGGCAGCTGATCGATGATTCTCAACGATGTTTCTAACTCTCTATCCCTCTCTCTTCCTCTCTGTAAAAAATCAATAAAATTATTAAAAAAAAACAAACTGTATACTAATAATTGAACATTCAAAAAAATATCAATAAAATATTTTTTAAGATCTTACAACAGTTAAAAAATAAACATTAAAGGAAGACAAGGAAAACAGATAAGTAATACAGACAAGAGGTCATTATCAGACAGAAGGAAATGCTATAAAATTTAAAGTTCAATATTTAGATTTCAATGAAAAAGTAGCCTAAGAATATGAGCAAAGAACATCTAATACACCAGTGCATGGATAAAACATCCTGTTTTAGTGGTATTGAAAGAAATGTAAATTACATTGACTCTGAAGTTCTGCTATAAATTCACTAAATATGAAAAACACAGATTCTGATAGATTGAACCATCATATAGAATTATTGATAATCAAAGGGTTTTAACTTATAAAAAAAATGGTGATTTCATATGGTTCAATTTAAACTAAGGTTGCAGGGAAGAGAACTAACGTTAAGCAGCCATAACTGATACAGTATAAACTCCTTCATTTCTTCTGGAAAGTAATCTGGTGGAATGTAACAAAGGCTTTTAAAATCTGGATTCAATAATTCTACTCTATAAATAGCCTAAGAAATTAATATACATTAACATTTTAGTCATGACTGAAAAATATAAGGTAGAATCCAAATGATCAATAATGAATCAATGTAGATTATGAGATATTAAGACAATGGCACATATGTGATCTGGATTTTTCAAAATTTAGTGAAGGTTTAAAAAAAAAAAAAAGAACTATGAATATGAAGCAATAAAGCAGTGTAGCATAGCTGTTAAGAGTATATAGTCAGGTTACCTAAGCATGATTTCAGTTCTGCCAGTTATAATCTGTGTGATCTTAAGCAAGTTACTGAATCCCTATGTTCTCTAGTTTCTATCTATAAAATGGAAATAATAATAATAGTTGATAGGTTATTAGAGGATTCAAGGAATTATTACATACAAAGTCCTTAGAACAATATCTGGCACAAAGTGCTATTATTGGTGTTATTTTTGACATGCTTTTGTGAGTTGAATTTCAATGAGATTTTAGAAAATATGTTTCAAACTTCTTTAAGCCAGTGCCACTCAAAATGGGGTCTGCAGATTGGTTGCTAGTTCATTAATGGTCTGCAACGAGATAAGCAGTCTGTCCCAGGATAAAAATCAACTGCTCAGTGGACATTTTCTCCTCCAAAGCAAGACTTTCTCAAGATAGTAGTATGTTGATTTATATTCTAGTATAAGTTTCTTGTTTCACTGCAAACATCATTTGCATTATACATAGAGGTATAAAAATATATGTAATACATACATAACTATAAATACTGTAGAGTATATAATTTTGTCTGAATTACGAAAATGAAAACATGTAACATTACCAATTCTGGAGTAAAGTCTCTTTCTCCAAACCAATTACTCAGATATTCCAAGACACTGGTTACTGTTGCCTAAAAAAAGGGCGGAGAAGGTGGAAGAATTAGTAATAAAAGAATGACAAGTTCAAAATGAGTTTTATTAAGTTAGTTAGACAGCAATTCTGATATTTAAAGTGGCCTCAGTCTTTAGACTTCCAGAGAAAACTGTGGCTCTATTTAGTAATTTGATTAGATGGCTCACTCAGTGAGAAGAGGCTTTTAAGATAAATATTCTTACATATTTTCAAGTATCAATACCTTAGTTTAAATCCTAATATTTAGTTTATAACTACTATTATAATTTAGGTTAACACTACTTCAAAAATTCCATGTGCTCTTAAAAAAAGTCTTTGCATACATTGAAACATTGTACAAATCTGAACAGAAAGTTAGCTACAGAAAAATCTGTTTTAAAACTATACAGCAGAATGTATCAAATTGTTAAAAATATCTGCTTTGCCCTACCTGGTTTGGCTTAGTGGATACAGTGTCAGCTTGCGGATGGAAGGGTCTCAGGTTCGATTCTGGTCAGGGGCATGTGCCTTGGTTACAGGCTTCTCCCGGAACCAGGCCCTGGTCAGGGCTTGTGCAGGAGGCAACCAATTGATGTTTCTCTCTGTCTTTCCCTCTCTCTTCCACTCTCTAAAAATCAATGGAAAAATGTCCTCGGGCGAGGATTAAATACACACACACACACACACACACACTGAGTGGCCAGACTATTATGTATTCAGAGATCACGCGCCAGGTTATTATGATCTCTGAATACATAATAGTCTGGCCACTCAGTGTGTGTGTGTGTGTGTGTTTGTGTGTGTGTGTGTGTATGAACTCGTGCATGGGTGGGGTCCACCCAGCCTGGCCAGGGAGAGGGGACATGGGCGGTTGGCCGGCCTGCCTGCTGGTCGAACTCCTGATCGAGGGGGCAATTTGCATATTAGCCTTTTATTATATAGGATATACACGTAGTGGCCAGATTATTATACATTCAGTGATCATAATAATCTGGCCACTCAGTGTATCGGGTCTAGTAATAATTAATGTCGTTTTTAAACATTCGTTTAAAATCTTGCTTGGCGTTGACTTGTATTGACATAACCTTCAAACACGTGGTATCTACAGAACGTGTGAAGTGCAATTAACAAGTTTTGCTTGAAAAAGTTTGTGTTTGGTTGGTTTTTGTTGCAAAACTAGGGCTAAGAAGATGGCGGATGAAGAGCATATTCGGCCCTGCATGCTTTACGAGTTCCAATTAGGAAGAAAAGCAAGTGAGGCTGCAAAAAACATCTGTAGTGCTCTTGGTCAAGATGCAGTTAGCGCCAGAAAATGCCAGCGTTGGTTTGAGAAATTTCGTGAGGGAAATTTTTCGTTAGATGACAAGAGTGGTCGAGGCCATGTGTCCAATTTTGATCAAGAAGCTCTTCAAGCTCTTTTGGTGCAAAATCCTCAAATTACCCAACAAGAGCTTGCGACAACTTTAAATTGTTCACAAAAAACAATTTCCAATCAATTGCGTGCACTTGGCAAAGTCCAAAAGTTTGGAAAATGGGTTCCTCATGAGTTGACCGACAACAACTGTAATCAGAGTCACAATTTGCAGTTCGCTCCTCTCTCGTCAAAACCGTTTGCCGTTTTTAGAGCAAATTGTTATCGGAGATGAAAAATGGGTGCTGTATGTTAATTTGAAAAGGCGGCCTCAAAGGTTGGACAAAAATGAGGCTCCGCAGCCCACGCCAAAACCTGACTTGCATACGAAAAAAGTGATGTTGTGTGTTTGGTGGAATTTTAAAGGAATTCTTCATTATGAACTTTTACCATCTAACCAAACCATTACAAGTGCAGTGTATAGCGCCCAATTGGAAAGGTTAGCCCAAGCTTTAAGAGAAAAAGAACCCGCGCTGATTAATCGGAAGGGCGTAATTCTTCACCACGATAACGCACGACCGCACACTGCAAGAATCACTGCTGAAAAACTGCGCCAGTTGGAATGGGAAGTTCTCCCTCAACCTGCATATTCTCCTGATATTGCCCCTTCCGATTACCATTTGTTTCGTTCTTTGCAAAACTTTCTTCTTGGAAAAAAATTTAATAATGAAGAATGCCTCAAAAATGCATTGACCGAATTTTTTGCATCAAAATCATAAGAATTTTACAACAGAGGGATTAAAATGCTTCCTGAGCGTTGGGCACAAGTAGAAAACAACGGCAACTATACTGTTGATTAAATTTTGTTGTATTGTTTAAATAAATTCGATTTAGAAAAGTATTAGAAAACGACATTATTACTAGACCTAATATATTATCTGCCTTATTTTTAGTTGGACACTTAAAAACATTCTGATGGAATTTAGTGTGAACACTATGGTATCTTAATGCAAACAATCAACTAAGTAAAACTGTCAGCCAGTAAAATTAAGACAGAATATAAAAATTTCATCTTCCAAGGGTAGCCAATGCTATGTTAAGACAAAACAAACTTTGGTGGTCTTTAAATGGATAATTACTAGTCCTAAAAGTCTGAAGAAACAAAATCCATCTTTTTCCATTTTATCCAAGATATGTATGTAGTGGTTAAGTTTTGGGGGAGTCAAAATTATATGTAGATTTTCAACTGTAGTGGGTCAGTGTCCCTAACCCTAGTGCTATTCAAAGGTCAACTGTATTTTATTTGTAATACAATACATAGGCTATCTGGAATTATATTGAAATAAATAGAAATCTAATCTTAGTATTTACTTCAAATCCCAAGTCTAACTAAAAGTCTAACTAAAACATATTCAATTAAATAGTTTAACACCATGATTAAGAGAATCAGTTCTAGAATTAGGTCACTCTCGTACTGAATACCAGTGCTGCCATTAAAACTTGCTGGAAAAATAGGTTAACCTTTAATTTTGTTTCCTCTTCTCTAAAAAGTAGATACATGTTAATAATAGCTCCCTATAGAGGGTGGCATTAAGGATTAAATAAGAAATGTTAAAGAATTTAGAAAACACGCACACAAAAGTTTAGAACATGGTCTTGCATAAATATCCAGTAAATGTATTCAAATACTTTCACACACATCAAACAAAAGAATGCATATATCCTTATTAGATAGACTTTACCTGATTCATTCTGCTAACAATACTAAGCAAGGGAGGAAAACCAATCTGAAAGAAAAATGAGATTGAAATTTAATTTTTTTTCAAACTGGTGAATTTTTTATCACACTATTATTTAGAAACAAAAAAGGCTATAAAACGAAACTCCTTTATTGCCTATTATAATAAAATGTTCCATGAAGTAATACCCCCAAATAATGTCTTGAAATTTGAATATGTAAATTTAAAAATAAAAAATGATTTCTGTAATTAAAATGTTAAAGTATGAAAAATTTTTAAAAAGATATTGATATTATTAATACTGTAACATAAATATGTGATACACTTGGTACGTGGCCTTGTCTGTGCCCTTGACCAGAACTGAACCTTCAACCCTTCTGTCCACACCAACACTCTAACCACTGAGAAAACTGGCTAGGGCTGATACAATCTTTTAAAAAATCTTCAGCTAGCCTTGCCTAGTATGACTTGATTGGAGCATTGTCCAACTCATTAAAAGGTGGCCGGTAATTCCCAGTCAAGGCACATACCCAAGTTGCAGGTTCCATCCGCGTTTGGGGCATATGCAGGAAGCAACCAATCAATGTTTTTCTCTCTCAAAATCAATTTTAAAAGCCAGCCCCACAAAGAATTAGTTCATTGAGTATTTTAAAAGAATCTTTAGCTAAAGCCAATATTTTCAAAAATAAAAGGCACTTGAATTAGAATGAGTTTTTTCAAACCTACTCTGATTCAAATTTTTAAATTCTATTATACTTTACAGCTTAATGCTAAAAACATTGATTATGAAAATAGCATAGACTTGTGAGAAAGTTAAAAGGACATGCACCAACCAGCATGGCTCAGTGGTTGAGCATCAACCTATGAAGCAGGAGGTCAAGGTTCAATTTCTGGTTAGGGCACATATCCAGATTGTGAGTCCAATCCCCATTGTGGGATGTTCAGGAGGCAGGCAGCTGATCAATGATTCTTTCTCGTCATTGATGTGTCTCTCTCTCTTTCCCTCTTCCTTCCTCTCTAAAATAAATAAAAATATATACATTTTTTAAAGAAGAATAGTTTGTATAAGAAACAGTGCCAAATTACTTCCCCTGGAGATCTGAAGCTATTTTTCACTCTCATCACATAAATTAGAATACCTGTTTTCCCAGCCCTGTCAACACAGTTTATCAAGCCTTCTTTGCCGATATATTACCTGAAAAAATAGCAACTCAGTATAGTTACATTTTATTACAAGTGAGTTTGTGCATCTTCTCATATAAGAACAATTTGTATTTCCTTTCTGTAAGGTCTATTTGTATTATTGGACTATTGTTTTTAATTGGGTTCTCAGTCTTTTTTAGTGATTTTTGGAGCTTTTACATTTGGGGATAATTAGTTTTAAATAGGAAAAACACAATGTGGTACCATGTAGCACACAATAAATACCTGTTCAATAGAACAGAACAACATAATATAGAGTTAGTAGTAATGCTGATGTATGCAGAGGGTTCCACACAAACATCTGCAAACTTGAGGGCAGGTGAATCCTGAAGGATAAGTAGTTGTCCACATAATTTGTGAAGCTTTATGAAATTTAAATGTACTCTCAGCAATTCCATCTCCAGAATATAAAATTTACTAAGGATTTTTAAGAACATCCCTCATCATCATGCCCTAGCTGGTTTGGCTCAGTGGATAGAGCGTCAGCCTGTGGACTGAAGGGTCCTGGGTTTGATTCCAGTCAAAGGCACATGCCTGGTTGCTGGCTCAATCCCCAGTAGGGGGCATGCAGGAGGCAGCTAATCAATGATTCTCTCTTGTCATTGATGTTTCTATCTCTCTCCCTCTCCCTTCCTCTCTAAAGTCAATAAAAATATAAATTTAAAAAAAATATCCCTCATCATGTCATGTTTTCCTGTTTCCCTGCCATTTGTCACTCACTGTTCAACCCATGACTAACGATTAAAAAAAAATACTATCTAATTAAAACGTTAATGATATGAAGCCAATCTAAAAAATGTCACAGTACGTTGTTTCAGAAACTGGGATACCAATTTTTAAATTAAAGAGTTAATACGCTATAAGTCTGGGGTTGGCAAACATTTTTTGTAAATGACTAAACTAAATATTTTAGGCTTTGCAGGCCACACACTGTCTTAGTCACATATTATTAGTTGTTTTTTTAATAAAAACCACTCTTAGCTCATGAGCTGTATAAAAAATATACTGTGGACTGGACTTGGATCAGGCTGCAGCTTGCTGATGACGGCCCAGCTGGCAGGGCACCGTGTTTGAGCGTCTACGATGAACCAGGAGGTCACGGCTCCGTTCCCAGCTGGGCACATGCCCGGGTTGCAGTCCTATTCCTGGTGTAAGGTATGTGGGAGGCAGCGGGTCAATGATTCTCTCTCAGCACTGATGTTTCTTTCTCCCTTCCTCTCTGAAATCAATAAAAATATATATTAAAAAAAAAAAAAAGAGAGATGCACTAGAACTAGAATACTTTGTTGTTTTAACTGCTTATCACCTACTTGTATAAAATCTATTCCAGGATTTTCATTTTTAGTTGGTTCAACAGCCCCTTCAGAACATAACCTTTCACCCAGACAAAATTTTTTCCAGCCTTCTTCATCTTCAGATGTTGGCTAAAAGAAAAAAAAAAAAAAATTACTTATTTCTATGTATTGTTAAAATACAGAACCGTGAAAAAAGAAATGAAGATTCTTCCATAGTTCCACCACATCAACGCAAAAATATGGTACCTGTTACGCATTAAATTATGTCCCTCCCCAAATTCAAATGTTGAAAACTTAATCCCCAGTACCTCAGGATGTGACTACATTTGGAGACAGAGCCTTTATAGAGATGATTTAGGTAAACTGCAGAAGGGGCCCAAATCCAATCTGACTGGTGTCCTTGCAAGAGGAAATTTGGACACACAGAGAGACACTGGGGTTGTGTGTGCACAGAGGAAAGACTATGCAAACAATGAGAAGACAGCATATGCAAGCCAAAGAGAGAGGCCTTGAGAGAAACCAAACCTACTGACACTTTGATATTAGATTTCTAACCTAATGAGAAAATAAATTACTATTTGTTAAGCTATCTAGTTTGTGTTATTTTGCTATGGGGGCCCTACCAAACTACTACAATGCCCAACTGGTCATACCACATGTGGGACATTTTCACTTTGGAGCATACTTTAATGGACACTAACAAGCAAGGGAATGCTCAATAAAGGATGATAAACATGGAAACTAGTGTGAAAAAGAATACCAATTAAGAATGCTAACAAGAGCGCTGGCCGGCGTGGTTCAGTTAGTTAAGCGTCATCCCCTGCACTGAGAGGCGTCAATTTGATTCCGTCAGAGAGCATACCAGGATTTCAGATCGATCCCCAGTAGGGGGCATGCAGGAGACAGCCAATCAATGCTTCTTGATGTTTCTCTCCCCTTTTCCCTTTCTCTCTCTCTAAAAAACAATAAAAACATATTTAGAAAGAAAGAAAAAAAAAAAGAATTCTAACAAGAACAAGGGAGGTTTTTTCCAGGGAAGGAGACATGATTACTATATACCTCACATACTTAATGGGCTGTCTAATCAAAGAAGAAATAGATTTATTTTACATTGCCAGAAGGAAAAAGCAGCATCAGTGGGGAGCACTTAGCCAAATATAACTATCTTAATAAAACTATTTTTATTTGTATCTGTTACTTTGCACCTTACTTTGCAAAGTTGTAGAATTTCCTCCCCTGAGGATAAATAGCTTTCATTAGATTCTCGGGATGAATATGAAACCCCTAAAAAGTTAAAAACTATTGTTCTGAAACAATGTTATCCATCTTTCTCCATTACTCTATTAGGTTAGAGATTATTTCGACAGTAGGTTGCACTAAATACACTGATTAAATACTAGAAGCCCAGTGCATGAAATTCATGCATGGGTATGGTCTAGTCCAGGGGTCCTCAAACTTTTTAAAGTGGGGGCCAGATCACGGTCCCTCAGAGAGCTGGAGGGCCGGAGTATATGAACTACTAATTCCTACTGTAACACCTCGGCTGCGCTCACTGCCCAAAAAACCTGGCGGGCCGGATCAGACTCCTCTGCGGGCCACATGTGGCCCGCGGACCATAGTTTGAAGACGCCTGGCCCTAGGCCTGCCCTGCAATCAGGGCCATCTTCCCCAGCTGCCGGCCCCACCCCCTGCCGCCACCCAACCTGGTTCCCTGTTCACCATGGGGTGATCAAAGCCTGACAGCTGCAGGGCAGGACCGAGAGGTGGGTCATTCCCACCTACTTGCCAGACCTACCCCCACCTAGGGTCACCCAGTATGTGGGGTGACTGGCAGGGCAGGGGCATTGGCCGCGTCCCCTGCTCCTCACCCCCAGTTCCCTGTTCGCACCAGGCGATGGGAGCCTGCCAGCCAGGAAAAGGCACCAAAAGTGGTCAGTATACCTCATAGTGACTGGTTGAGCGGTTGTTCTGGTCATTCTGCCATTAAACTTGCATATTACCCTTTTATTTCGTAGGATTATATAGGATAGTAGGTGCTTAATAAATGATTGGATAAGTCAATAAATAAATGTTTATATATATATACACACTAGAGGCCCAGTGCATGGATTTGTGCACCAATGGGGTCACATGGCCTGGCCTGCCCTCTTGAAATCTGGGACCCCTTGGAGGATGTTGGGGAGCAAGTTGTGGCCCATTCCCCCACAGGCCAGGCCAAGGGACCCCACCAGTGCACAATCGGGTTCAGGGAGGGAAGATTCCAGGGCATGTCCAGCCCATCTTGCCCAATCCCAATCAGCCAGACCCCAGCAGCAGGGTAACATACCAGGAGAGTCTGCCCCCTGGTGGTCAGTGTGTGTCATAGCAACTAGTCAAATAGAATGAATGGTCACTTAGAATATTGGGCTTTTATTATATAGAATACTAGAGGCCCAGTGCATGAAAGTTCATGCATTGGAGGGGGTGGGGGTCCCTCAGCCTGGCCTGCCCCCTCGCACAGTGCAGGAGCCCTCAGAGGCAGGAGGTGACCCTGCGATCAAGGGAAGGCGACACCCAATCACACCTATGCTACTGCCATTGCCAACAGCACAAGCCTCAGCCAGCCCTGGTTACCTGAGCCTCAGGCAGCCCTGGGCAGTTGGGCAGCTGCCATCCAAGGCTTGCCTGTGTCTCAGGCCAGTCCTGGGCAGTCGCCATCCGAGACCTGCCTATACCTTGGACCAGCCCTGGGCAGCTGAGGGGACTGGGGGACTCCGGAGGCAGGAGCACAGCGGGGCTGAGGGGACTGGGTACCGCCAACTTGTGGCTGTGGGCCCTGCCACCTTTGAGGTTGGGGCAGTCAATTAGCATATTCCCTCCTATTGGCTATGGGCGCTGCCATCTTTGAAGGTATGGTAGTCAATTAGCATGTTCCCTCTTTATTAGATAGGATTTTAAATATGTCTTTATTGATTTCAGAGGAAAGAAGAGAGAGAGATACAGAAGCCTCAATGATGAGAGAGAATCATTGATTAGCTGCCTCTTGCACGCTCCCTACTGGGTATTGAGCCCACAACTCAGGCATGTGCCCTGACCTGGAATCAAACCTGGGGTCTTTCAGTTTGCAGGCTGACACTCTCTCCACTGAGCCAATCTGGCTAGGGCTAAATGTTTATATTTACATAGTTGACACCAGAGTGTTTTATTATTTTCATATTTATATTTTCCATGGTGAACCTGTTTTCTATATACGATATATAAAAGCCTAAGTGACTGAACGACTGGTCACTATGACCACCAGGGGGCAAATGCTCAATGCAGGAGCTGCCACCTGGTGGTCAGGGCACTCCCACAGTGGGAGCACCGCTCAGCTGACCGACAGGCACCAGACATTAGGCTCAAGTCTGGCAAGCTCAGCTGCAGTGTCACAAGCCTCTCCCACCTCTGCAACAGTGCTGCTGAACAGCAGTGGCAGCAGGAGCAGCTCGGGCTCCTTCCTGGCCACCTGCCACCTTGCGCACTTCTACACCCCTCAGGGAATGTTGGATTGCCAGTTTTGATCCAACCCCCACAGGCCTGGCCAGATTGTGAGAGGGTGCAGGCCAGGCTGAGGGACCCCACCAATGCACAAATCTATGTACCAGGCCTCTAGTTATTACATAATATTCCTGTGTTGGTGGATCATAATTTATTGAATCAATTATGTTAGGTCATTTCATTTTTAAGAAAATTATATCATCATAATGTTACTGATGTGACTTCTTTTTTGAATTAGTAAACATGTACACAGTCCTTACTCTTGAGTAAGAAAAAAATATATCTACCTACCTGCCCCACCTCCTTTTTTACTATGAGCTTCACAGCTTAGAGAAAGGCTTTAGAGTAGGGGTGTCGAACTCAATCAGAGAAGGGGCCAAAAATCTAAAATCCAGCCTAAATCGCGGGCCAAATGGTTTACTGAACAGTCATAAACTGTCATTGTGATGGAAACGCAGTGGAGTGCAGTGATGACAGCGCGGTGCGGGCCACATTGCAAGGCCTGGCGGGACGGATTTGGCCCGCGGGCCTTGTGTTTGACACATGTGCTTTAGAGGAAGACAACATTCAGTGGCTCCCAGCTATACTTTTAAAAAACAATTAACTATTTAAATCAAAACCATCTTTATTATTTACAGAGCAGCCTGCCATCAGGGACACCTATATGGGGGTCCCTAAGGACAGAAGAATATTTATATTGGGGTCAGGAAGGTCCCAGCTATATCTTTGATGAGTTAAATAGTCTTGGGCAAGTGATGCTAGTTCTTTCACTCTTTTAAGAGAGAACTTCCAACTGGTATGGAGAGGCCATATATTGATCTCAGCTTTCAGCTGGTAGTCTCAGGAAGATTATGCAAGTGGCCTCTTCCATTTAGGCCAATTTGTTACCATATCAAAATGTTGGGAAAAAACTACCTCGAAGCAGCTTCTAAAATTTGAAATCTATGAACCTAAAACTGAGCAAAATTATGTGTATAGGTGCATTTTGTCCCTCTGCAGATGAATAGCTTTCATTTGGTTTTCAGGAAAAATATGAGACTCCCTAAAAGGTTAAAAGTATTGCCTTGGTGTACATCTGAAATTAATATTATATCGTATATAAACTATAATTGAAATATAGATTTTAAAAAAGGGGGGAAGCCCAGCTGTTGTGGCTCAGTGGTTGAGCATCAACCTATGAACCAGGAGGTCACAATTTGATTCCTGGTCAGGGCACATGTCTGGGGTGCGGGCTTGATCCCCAGTGTACAAGAGGCAGCCTATCAGTGACTCTCATCACTGATGTTTCTATCTCTCCCTCTCACTTCTCTGAAATCAATAAAAACATTAAAAAAGTAAAAAGAGGGGGAATATATAAAGTAAAAATTAAAAGCCTTTCACAAAAAAAGAAAAATATTGCATTGGAACAACTCCCTTTTTTATTAGGTAGTCCAGATATATCATATCTACCGAGGAGCTTAATATTATATCTAAGCTAATAAAATGAAGGAAATACTTTCCAATATGCATAACAAACTTCACTAAAATGCCACTAGTACTGGCACCATTATCTCATCAGGAAAACCCGATAAGTATTACTCAACTTTTTGGTAAATACTGAAAATGTATTTATTTCCTAAAAATCAAATATCTAGAAGGACCTTTAGAAACTTATAGCAGCTTTGCTCACTGGTTGGAATGTGAGTCCCAGGCACCAAAGAGTCTTGGGTTCAATTCCCAGTCAAGGGCACATAAATGCCTGGGTTGCAGGGTCAATCCCCAGGTCCAGTGGGGTGCTTACAGGAGGCAATCAATAGATGTGTCTCTCAAACATCAATGTTTCTCTCTCTCTCTCCCCATACCCCTCCCATTTCCCTTCCACTCTCTCCAAGGCTGCTAGGAGGGGCGGAGGCACAAAAGGGCTGGCCAGTTACCCACAGATGGCAACTGAAGACCTAGAGAGATATCTCAGCTGTGGGGGAGGAGGGTGCCATGGAAAACTGGGATCTAACGTGGAAGCTGGGCTCCCCAGCTGAGAGCACCAAACTGAGGAGGGTACCCACATAGCATCTGGCAGTGAAAAGTAGCAGGGTGCTCTCTGCTAGGGAGTAATAGCTGAAAATTCTGGCACCCTTCTAAAGGTCCAGAGCACAAAAATTCCCTGTGGAGCCACCCACCTCGTGCTTTGGCAAAGGGAGGGTGGAGTGGACTGAAGCTGTGGACTTGGGGGATAGAGCTCAGAAGGCAGACACCCCATTTCCTGGGCTGAGTCATTCCCTCACACAGCCATCTTTTCCACATAGACATCTTCCTTGTCTTGGGGAAGACAGTCCACATACCCTATTATAGTGGTTAGCAAACTCATTAGTCAACAGAGCCAAATATCAACAGTACAACGATTGAAATTTCTTTTGAGAGCCAAATTTTTTAAACTTAAAATGCCACTTCTAATGCCACTTCTTCAAAATAGACTCGCCCAGGCAACGGTATTTTGTGGAAGAGCCACACTCATGGGGCCAAAGAGCCGCTAGTGGCTGGTAAGCCCAGTTCTGAGGCTACTTAAAGCGATTAAGTAACAATCAGCCTCCGGGCTGAAACAACTTCCTCATCCTGTTGGAAAAAAACTCTCACCACACCTAAGGACGATTTCCTGGGGGCAAGTCGGAATCCTATTAATTTGTAGATAGAGGCAATCACTGAAGGCTAGAGTCTTTGCTTGATCTAATTAGTCAGAAACAGCCTTTAACACTGCCTTGCACTAGAGATTGAGAGATATAGAGGACCTAAAACATAGTAACAAACCCAAACGGACAACCAAAATGAGGAAACAAAGAAACACCCCCCAAATGAAAGAACCAGTGAAATCTGAAATGGAGTTCAGAGTAATTATATTAAAAATGTTTAACAGTATGAAAAAAGACATAGTAACTATGAAAGAAGAACAGTCTGAGATAAAGAATGACATAACACAAATAAAGAATACATTGGAGCCGAAACCGGTTTGGCTCACTGGTTTGGCTCAGTGGATAGAGCGTCAGCCTGCAGACTGAAGGTTCCCAGGTTCTATTCCGGTCAAGGGCATGTACCTTGGTTTCGGGCATATCCCCAGTAGAGGGTGTGCAAGAGGCAGCTGATCGATGACTATCTCTCTCCCTTCCTCTCTGTAAGAAATCAATAAAATATTAAAAAAGAAAAAAAGAAAAGAAAAAAAGAATACATTGGAAGGAATACACAGCAGATTAGGGGAAGCTGAGGATCGAATCAGTGAATTAGAAGACAGAGTTGAAAATATCACTCAATAAGAAAACCAGAAAGAAAAAGAAAAAAAATTAAAAAACAGGAGGGCAGTTTAAGGAGCTTTTGGACAATGTAACAATATTAGAATAATAAGTGCACAGAACAGGCAGAAAGGGTGAAAGGAATAGAGAAGGTGTTTGAAGAAATAATGGTAGAAAACTTCCCTAAGCTGATAAAGGAAAAAGTCACAGAAGTTCAGGAGCCACAGAGAATTCCAAACAAGAAGAATCCAAATAGACCCAGGCCCAACACATTATAATTAAAATGCCAAAAATTAAAGACAAAGAGAGAATCTTAAAGGCAGCAAGAGAAAACTGTTACCTACAAATGAGTTCCCATAAGGCTGACATTTAATTTCTCATTAGAAACTACAGGCCAGAAGGGAATGGCATGAAGTACTCACGGTAATGAAAAGCAAGTATCTGAGAGCAAGATGACTATATCCAGCAAGGCTATAATTCAAAATAAAGAGCTTCCCCAACAAAAAAAGGCTAAAAAGGTGAGTACATCACCACCAAATCAGCAATACAAGAAATGCTAAAGGGATTGCTGAGAAGAAGAGAACAGAGGGAGAATCCTAGCCATACAGAATTGAAATGGCTATAAGTACCTCTCAATAATAACCCTAAATGTAAATGGATTAAATGCTCCAATCAAAAGGTGTAGGGTAGCTGAATGGATACAAAAACATGACCCAACCATATGCTGTCTACAAGAGACCCAACTCAAAACAAAAAAAATAAACACAGGATGAAATGAAGGAATGGGAAAAAATTTTCCATGCAAATGGAAAAGAGAAAAAAAAAGCTGGAGTAGCAATACTCATATCTGACAAAATGGACTTAAAAGCATCATGCTAAGTGAAATAAGCAGGTCAAAAAAAGATAAATATCATATGATCCACTCATTTGTGGAATATAAACAGATGAACAAAAATAGAAGAAAAGGATGGGGAGGGGGGAATATTCTAGAATATAATAGAAGTAATCCTATTATTTGCAGATTTTTAATATTTCCTACAACTTTTATGATATACTATGCAAGTACAGTTTTGGTAATATTACTATACTTAAAATCCTTTTATTCTTGAAATATTAATGCTTATTGCATGTCATATTATATGTAAAATCATTTTTCTTGAAAAACTGGTGTTTATTGCATGTAACATTATATTTAAAATCGCTTTTCTTGAAGATATTGTCTATTGCATGTAACATTATTATATTTAAGATAATTTTTCTTTAAAAAAAATAATTAATTAATTATGGTATCACATAATTGTCCTCATCCCTCCATTCCCATCCCAAAACCCTCCCCACGTATGCCTCACCCTCCTGTTGTTCATGGCCACTGGTTAGGCTTATATGCAAAGATCATTTTTCTTAAAAAATTAAAGTTTATTACATGTAACATTATATTTAAATTTGTTATTCTTGAAATTAAAAAAATGAAAAAAAAATCAATGGAAATAATATCCTTGGGCAAGGATTATCAATAACAAAATAAACAACTTTGTGGAGGCCTAACAATTATCTATCCAAAATCTCCTTAAAAAAAAAAAAAAAAAAAAGCCCAGCTGGCATGGCTCAGTGGTTCAGTGTCGACCTATGTACCAGAAGCTTGTGGTTCGATTCCAGGTCAGGGCACATGCCCAGGTTGTGGGCTTGATCACTGTTGGGGGACATACAGAAGGCAGCCAATCAGTTATTCTCTCTCAGAGTTGTTTCTATCTTTCTTTCCCTCTCCCTTCCTCTCTGAAATCAATAAAATATATTAAAAAAAAAAAATCTCCTAGCCGAAACTGGTTTGGCTCAATGGATAGAGCGTCGGCCTGCGGACTGAAAGGTCCCAGGTTCGATTCCGGACAAGGGCACGTACCTTGGTTGCGGGCACATCCCCAGTGGGGGTGTGCAAGAGGCAGCTGGTCGATGTATCTCTCTCATCGATGTTTCTAACTCTCTATCCCTCTCAATTCCTCTCTGTGTAAAAATCAATAAAATATATTAAAAAATAAAAATCTCCTAAAATGCTGTGGATCAAAACAGATATGAAATAACAACCTGCATTACTGATTCTATACTTTTAAGGCCACTAAAATAATGGAATTGTTACTATTAAGTGTAGACGGGAGGAAAAAGAAAGTAATATGGACTAAGTAAATAATTCTTTAAAGACTGGAAGTAAATATGGACTATTTCAAATAAGTACACACTTTGCAATGAAAACAAGAAACTTACATACCATGGTCACATTACTATCCAACTGTTGTGATTTCCAGTGACTTCTATGTCTGTTCACACTCTATAGGAAGAAGAGTTAGACACTGAGCTTCAGAGAACGGATGACTGAAAAGAAATCAATTGTTGTACAACATTCTAAAGCTTGGGAAATATGTTTCAAACTGTATTATGTCTAATGATTATAATAATTTGGTAATTAATTCATAAATATTCTTTTCTTTACAGTTCACAATAAAAAATCTTACTTTTTGAACTAAAGTCTAAATGCAGAAATAAATCTGAGGGATTAATTTTATTAAATAATTAAAGTACACTGACCTGTCGAATAGTTGAAAATTGTGCCACTTGTTGCTGTTGCCACTGAAGTGTGGGGGAATAGCCTTGAGGAGCAGGTTGGCATCCTGAAAGCTAGAGATCAGTTTGTAATTTTTAGAACCAACGTTAGTGTTGTAACTAGCATCTCAGGCCTCTGAGAAGTAAAATCAACATGAACACTGAATAATACAGTAAATAATTAAGACTATAAAAATGTACTTTTTGCTGATGATGTAACAAAAGTAGGTAGGCATTTCACTTATTGTCTGAGTTTAAAGTGTTAGGAGCCCTGGCCCACGGGGCTCAATCGGTTGAGTTTCACACCATGAAACAAAAGGTTGGTTTGATTCCTGGTCAGGGTACGTGCCCAATTTGTGGGTTCCATCCCTGGTTAGGGTGTATGCAACCGATCAGTGTTTCTCTCTCCCTCTCCCTTTCTCTCTAAAATAAATAAAAGCATTATTTAAAAAAATAAAATGTTAGGAAAAGATCCTTATTTAGTCACTTTAATAAAAGCAATCTGGAATGTTTATAGTTGTAATATCTAAGAAATCTACATGATATGAGCACTAAAGATATAATCTAGTCCTACCTTTCTAGAATAGCAAAAGTCTGAAACAAAAAGATAAGCCCCAAATAAACAATTTCAGTATAGGCAGAACGTACTCAAATAATTTAAGATATTTGATCCTGAAAGGTCTACTTTTATTTCCTAAAACAATACATAATTCACAATTGATCACATATTGCCTTGAAATGAAACTTAGTACAGCCCTAGCCAGTTTGGCTGTGGATAAAGCATCAGTCTATAGACAGAAGGCTCCTGGGTTCCATTCTGATCAAGGGCACATGCCCAGGTTTCGGGCTTGATGCCCAGTAAGGGGTGTGCAGGAGGCAGCTAATCAATGATTCTCTCTCGTCATTGATGTTTCTATCTCTCTCTCTCTCCCTTCCTCTCTGAAATCAATAAAAATATATTAAACACACACACACACACACACACACACACACACACAAAAAAAAACAAATTTAGTGAGGTCACTTTTTAAAGCCAGGTATATAAAGCATTATCTTCCATCAACTAAAAAAATACTTATATGAAACACTGAGTGTCTGAATTAAAGTGTGCTAATTATAAACATCAAATAAAGGAATTACTTAGAACACATGTGTCAAACACAAGGCCCTCGGGCCAAATCTGTACCGCCAGGCCTTGCAATGTGGCCCGCACCGCGCTGTCATCACTGCACTCCGCTGCGTTTCCATCACAATGACAGTTTATGACTGTTCAGTAAACCATTCGGCCCACGATTTAGGCTGGATTTTAGATTTTGGCCCCTTCTCTGATTGAGTTCGACACCCCTAACTTAGAACATAAAAGGAAAAGGATTTATCACAATTTAAAACTGTTCTTCTGCCCTAACAGGTTTGGCTCAGTGGATAAAATGTTGGCCTGCAGACATAAAGACCCCAGGTTTGATTCTGATCAAAGGTATGTACCGTGGTTGCAAGCACATCCCCAATTTGTGGAGTGTGCAGGAAGCAGCTGATTGATGTTTCTAACTCTATATCTCTCCCTTCCTCTCTGTAAAAAATCAAAAAAAAATATTAAAACAAAATAAAACTGCTGCTCTCCTTTGACTTTAAATTAAATTCACATTCTCAAGAGAGACCTTCTGTGACTATCTAAAGCAGTTCTCCTGTTATTTACTGGTCATTATGTATGTTAATTTTCTTCACACAGCAGTCACAATATATAATGACTTAATTTGTTCATTTAACATCTGTCTTCCTCAGGAGAGTGCAAATTCTATAAGGATAGGGGCCTTTTCTGTCTCATCCTCTGTTTATTCCCAGTGCCAGACACAACCTAGCTGGTTAGTAATATATGTGCTGGATAAGTGAATGAAAATGTTCAGTATACAAGTAGTTAAAAAAAGGTTAAGATATATGGGTTTTTTTTTCTTATAAACAAAATCAAAAACACACCCAGTCAAAATCTGAACATAACCAATTTGCAGCAAACTATACTAAAATTAAATAGTACCATAAAAATTATGAAGATAACTGGACAAGTTTACTTAAGAATAAAGGTTATGCCCTGCCTGTGTTGCTCAGTGGTTGAGTGTATGAACCAGGAGGTCAGAGTTGATTCTCAGTCAGGACAAATGCGCATCTCGGGCTTGATCCCCAGTAGGGCATGCAGGAGGCAGCCCATCAATGATTCTCTAACTATTGATGTTTCTACCTCTCTCCCCCTCCTTTCCTCTCTGAAATCAATAAAAATATATTTAAAAAAATAAAAAGAATAAAGGTTAGCATAAAGGGCTAATTTAAAGATTTCCTTAGGATTGGATCTTGTCCCCTAAGTATGAAGAGCAAATCTCTACAAATGCCAGGGTTACTGAGAGCTTCTTGTGGCAGTAAAAAAGGCAACTGTCCTTTTGGAGGAAAAAATACAAGCAAATGTCTAACTTATCAGGGAGTAGCGGTCAAATGCTACAAACATCTTCACTGATAGATACTGTTGGATACCATAGGAAGAACCTTGGACTTTTAATTTGGGGGGGGGGGGGGGGGGTTAAAAAATTCCCAGACGGGTAATAAAACTCACAGAAACATTCACACTTTGCTTCCTTTTCAACTTCTTTGGGTCAATTTGAGCTACCACAACGTCTGGACACTGAGCGGCTTCGATCCTACAAGTAAGTAATAAATGCAAGAAATGTGATTACAGGTGCTTTGCTCATGTGTAATCAAACAAGCTATCCGTTTCTACAGTTCATTATGAAATCAGAAAAACATAGTTCAGAACTACAACTGAGGCACTGACCGATCTACTTCTTAAATTATCCTGTCATGGGTCCTCAAGTTTAATTATAAGTAAGTTCACAGAAGCTCGCCCACGTAAAGTCATAGTCAAGCGACCCGGCCCCGGCCCCCGGCGGCTGGACCGGCGTGCGGCGCCCGCGGAGGGCACGGGAAGGCGCCCGCCCCCCGCCCAGGCCGAATCACTCACTGGACCCGCCTCAAGTATTCCTGAGGCGTCCTCGGAGGCATGGAGGGGTCGAAACCTTCTGTCAAGTCGCAGGGCTCCACTGGCAACAGCCGGGGCATCAGCTCTTCCACTGCAGACTCGGCGGGCACCCACGCCATGGCTCGCAACCCAGCCGGTCCCGCCTCCGGGTCACGGCGCAGGCGCACGAGCAGGCGCTTTGGCGCGGAGCGGAGCCCGCGCGGCCGGCGGGACGTGGTTGCGCATGCGCAAACCTGCGCCCTGCTCTAAGGCTCCTCCGTGCTGCGAAGACTAAGAATTTAGCTCCCGGCGGCAGCGGTTCTGAAGTGTTTCTACGTATGCACTCTTATACCCTCTGTACTCGTTCCTAAGGTTCGGGTAAAACTGAGGATTAACAACTTTTTATGCACCGCTAGTAGTGAGGGGTCCCAAAGTGTTGTTGTTTTTTTTTTAAATTAGTGAGCAATATCACTGTAATTATCCTTTATTGACCTCTAAATTCTTAAACCCCTAGTAGGTCACATACATCTCCTCATTTACTTTTTTACAGCCTTTTGAAGTAGATGGTATTATCCCGGTTTTGAAAGGGAGGAAATAGACCTAAAGAGAGTACAAGTACTCCCAACAGTGACTCCCTCCCAAAGGGGAAGAAAAGCCAATTCCCACCCAGGTTTGTCTGAAAACAAATGAACAAAAGTTTAATTTTCTTAGGAATCTCTTGTGCTTGGCTACTTCAAAGATCATTTTATATTTATCTAAAGTGGATATTACTCCTAGAATAACCATTCGTTTTTTCTTTTATTTTTCCCCCCCAAAAAAGAACTCTCCTTAAAGATAAGTAGTGCAAAGGATAAAACCAATGCTAATAACCAGGAGCCACCATTATTAATTTTAGAGCCTATCTTGTGAGTTGAGTACTATTATCTCCATTTTACAAATGAGTAAACAAAACAGAAATAATTTAGATAGCATTGGTTGGGTCACAAATTGCAAGAAAAAAATGAAAGTATTAAAGCTCAATTTTTTTAAACAAGCTCTGTGTGAATACAATTGACTTTTATTTATAAGGTTTATATTTATGTTTGATGCATTTGGTTTTTTTAAAAAACAAAAGCACTGCCTTTAGCAATTGATTTAGAAACCAGAATGTAACTTACTCAATTGAAGACCAAATGAAGACAGTCCTTAGGTTAAAAACTCCATGTAAGCCGAAACCGGTTTGGCTCAATGGATAAAGCATCGGACTGAAAGGTCCGGGGTTCGATTCTGGTCAAGAGGATGTACCTTGGTTGCGGGCACATCCCCAGTAGGGGGTGTGCCAGAGGCAGCTGATGGATGATTCTCTCTCATCGATATTTCTGACTCTCTATCCCTCTTCCTCTCTGTAAGAAATCAATAAAATATATTTAAAAAATAAATAAATAAAAATATTAAAATTGTTTCTAATTTAAAAAACCCAAAAACTCCATGTATAAGAACATGGTAAAACTGCACATGGATAAAGGAAGAATAGAGAGGAATAACAGAATGAACAAAGACTGACCTGGGAAATAATAATATTTTCCAAAAGAAAAGATGTGTAATAAAGTACACTAATGATTTTGAAATGCTTCAAAAAAAGACAAAGGGATTTGGGCTAAGGCAGTTAATTGTGGAAAAGTGATTAGCAAGATAAGGGTTAGTTTAATAAGTTTTGTTTGTACAGATTTATGTTGGCCTTGAGTCCCCATTTCTGGTGGTAAGAATGTCTTCCTTCCTCCTGGCATGGGATGGGAGTTTTATCTCCTGCTCTGAGGAAGGAAAAGGAAGATCTGAGTGCCCTTCTTGTATCTGCCATTTTCCAAACACCTAAAACTCACTATCGTATTGGTTAGGGGTGCATATTTGGTTTTCTTTAGTTGGTCCTAAATTGGAATCATGGAAAAAATTAGTAAACCTGTTATTTTGGGACAATTATTACATGGATTATTATTTATCTTCTTGAATTGTTGCTAGTGCTAGCAGTTGAACTTCCTACAAGTTTGATTTATAGAAGGCTTCCCAGGCTAGTTAAAATAGAATAATAGATTGGTTTCCTGGGACGGTTGCTGCAGATTGTGGATCAGAGTCCTATTTGTTTTAAATATTCACCTGAGAATATGTTTTTATTAATTTTAGAGAGAGAGCCGAAACCGGTTTGGCTCAATGGATAGAACGTTGGCTTGGGGACTGAAAGGTCCCGGGTTCGACTCTGGTCAAGGGCACATATCTTGGTTGCGGACATGTCCCCAGTAGGGGGTGTGCAAGAGGCAGCTGATCGATGACTCTCTCATCTATGTTTCTAACTCTCTATCTCTCTCCCTTCCTCTATGTACAAAATCAATAAAATATATTTAAAAAATAAATAAAATTAAAAAAAGTTTTTTAGAGAGAGAGAGGCATTGGAGAGGAGAGAGGGAAACATTATTGGCTGCCTTCTGTATGCACCCTGACCAGGGATTGAGCCTGCAACTTAAGTATGTGCCCTGACTGGGAATCAAACCTGAAACTTTTGGATGTGCAGGAAGACAGTCCAACCAACTGAGGAACCCGGCCAGCGCCAAAGTCCAATTTTTATCTTATGGTCAGGCCATTGTCCATTTGTATATCCAGTCTCAGCAGGAGAAAGAGCTCATTCAAGGCCTTATTGTTTAAGGAAGTTCGTCATGTTGGGAAAGTTTGATAAAGGTCAGTATGTTGATGTATAGACAGTAGAGGATGAATAGTGCTGAACAGAGTTATGAGAAATGTAGGTGTGTAAAAAACTGGTATCTCTACACAGTGGAATACTACACTGCGGTAAAAAAGGAATTCTTACCATTTGCAACAGCATGGATGGAATTGGAGAGTATTAGGCTAAGTGAAATAAACCAGGCAGAGGAAGATAAATATCACATGATCTCACTCATTTATGGAATATAATGAACAACATAAACTGATGAACAAAAATAGATTCAGAGATAGAGAAACATTGATCAGACCATTAAACCTCAGAGGGAAGGTAGGGGAGGGTGGGGGTAAGTCAAAGAGATCAACCAAAGGACTTGTATGCATGCATATAAGCCTAACCAATGGACACAGACAACAAAGGGGTGAGGGTATGAGGGGGTGTATAGGGAGGGTAATGGGGAAATAAGGACACGTATATAACACTGTAATCAATAAAGAAATTTTTAAAAATGCCTTGATTGGTTTGGCTCAGTGGATAAAGTGTCAGCCTGTGGACTGAGAGGTCCCCAGTTCAGTTCTGATCAAGGGCACATGCCTGGGTTGCTAGCTTGATCCCCACTGGGGGAGGTGCAGGAAGCAGCCAATCAATGATTCTTTCTCGTCATTGATGTTTCTTTCTTTTTTTAAAAAAAATATATTTTATTGATTTTTTACAGAGAGGAAGGGAGAGAGATAGAGAGCCAGAAACATTGATGAGAGAGAAACATTGACCAGCTGCCTCCTGCATGCCCCCTATTGGGGATGTGCCCGCAACCAATGTACATGCCCTTGACCGGAATCAAACTTGGGATCTTTCAGTCCGCAGACTGAGGCTCTATCCACTGAGCCAAACTGGTTTTGGCTCGTCATTGATGTTTCTATCTTTCCCTCTCCCTCTCTGAAATCAATAAAGATATTTAAAAAATAAAAAAATAAAAAATATGAATAAAAACAAGTAAGACTCTGGCCAGTGTGGTTAGTTAGAGTGTCAGCCCCCAAACCGAAGAGTCACAGGTTCCATTCTTTTTTTAAATTTTTTAAATTTAATTTAATTTAATTTTTATTGATTATGGTCTCACATAATTGTCCTTATTCTTCCATTCCCATCGCAAACCCCTCCCTAGATATGCCCCCCATCCCGCCCCCCCCATTGTCCATGGCCACTGGCTAGGCCACAGGTTCCATTCTTGACAAGTGCACCTTCCTGGGTTGCAGGCTCTATCCCCTGGTGCATGCAGGAGGCAACCAATCAATATGTCTCTGTCTGATGTTTCTCTTTCTCCCCCTCCCTCCCTTCCACTTTCTCTAAAATTAATGGAAAAATATCTTCCGGTGAGGATTAACAACAACAACAACAACAACACACACACACACACACACACACACACACACACACAAGTAAAATAATTCTATTCCAACCCACTTATTGTAGTTCAGGGTTAGGTGGCAAGAGCCTGTCTGGCAGCCCTGGTAAGGCAGGAATCCACAATGCACAGGACTCACTTTCATTGCCTGGTCACTTACATGCACCCATGCTCACTCCCACTGGAACAATGTAGCCATGCCATTTCACCTTGCATGCACATCTTTGGGATGTGGGAGAAAACCAGAGTGCTTGGAGAAACCTATGTATGCATGGGGAGAATGTGCAAACTCTACAGTGAAAGTGACCTTGGCCAGGAATCAGTTTTTCCCCTCTCAACACGGTTATAATGAGACTAGAGGCTCAGGGCGCAAAATTTGTGCATGGGTAGGGTCCCTAGCCTTGGCCAGCAATTAGGGTTAGTCTGTGGAGAGACTATTGGGGTGATTTGGGGGCCCCTGCTGGCACCCACCTTGGTTGGCCTACTGCTGCCCATTCACTGGCCCCTGCTCTCTGATTGCCCTGCTACCACTGGCACCCACCTTGGCTGGCCTGGTCCCTGCAGGCTGGGAGCAGCTCCTGTATTGAGTGCCCCCTGGTGGTCAGTGCATGTTATAGTGACTGGTTGTTCTGCTGTTCGGTTGATTTTATTATATAGGATGGCATTTGAGGGCCAGCTCTACATAATGAGACCTTCTATGACTCAGGAGTATGCAGCTGATCGATGTTTCTCTCTATCCCTCTCCTTTCCTCTCTGTAAAAAATCAATAAAATATATTTTAAAATATATTTTTAATTGATTTTTTACAGAGAGGAAGGGAGAGGGATAGAGAGCTAGAAACATCGATGAGAGAGAAACATTGACCAGCTGCCTCTTGCACACCCCCTACTGGGTATGTGCCCGCAACCAATGTACATGTCCTTGACCGGAATCAAACCTAGGACCTTTCAGTCTGCAGACGGACGCTCTATCCACTGAGCCAAACCGGTTTTGGCTAAAAAATATTTTTTTAAATTAAAAAAAGGCAATGAAGATAAATGAAAGGAGATCCTAGTCTTAGCCCATGCCCTAAGCAGACTCTTTTATCTCTCTAAGAACACTG